TTGCATATAGCTTCTCATATCGCTCATTTTACTTCACTATGGACAGGTTCAACGCTAGCAGAAGATCTGCTTTCATGCATAAAATGACTATTGAACTTGGTTTCCAGGAGCTGGCCAAAGAAGCCTCGGGGGATGCCGTAAGAGATAACTTCTAAGCTCTCCGACATACTTTTGGTGTTCACTAACTGTTAACATCAGTAGTTTTAGCTTTTTGTAGTAACTATCAGTTGAATCTTCTTTTCTTTTCGTTGGCCACGAATGACCTTTGTTATAAGGGATGAAAGGAAGCAATTTAGATTTGGCTTGGTGGGTGACGACAAGGTCCGCTCCTCACCAGTCAAATCTCCTCTTGATTCTTTTTTTCCTTGGTTTTTGGTACTTTTGTAATTATCCTTATATTTTTATATATATATATATATATATATGAACAGGGAACTTCTCCCTGTTTCTTCCGTTCAAAAAAAATTAATAGTTAAACATAATAATATGTAAATAAAAAATTGCATGATTAATTTGTATCTCAAAATCAAGAAAAATGATAGGGGCACACCATGAACCACACCTCATCTCTTGCTACAGTGTACCGGGCCCCAAATGAGATTTAAAAATTAAATCTCATTTGGGGGCCCGGTGCACTATAGCAAGAAATGAGATGTGGTTGGAGGTGTGGTTCATGGTGTGCCCCTAGTGCCTCTCCAAAATCAATACATAACCATTTCAACAACAAATATTAAATTGGAATACAATAAAGGAGAACGTGAGAAAAACTCTTGCGCTGTCTGTCTGTTCAACATCGTCAATAGTCTAGTAAATCTTTCATATTTTAAAATTACTCCCCCAAATTTTCATATTTTGAAATTAGTCTTCAAATCCTTAAGTATTCTTAAATTAGTTCCTCAAATCTTTATATTTTGGAAGTGGTCCCGCAAATCATTACATGCTTTGAAATTAGCTTTTCTAGTTAGTTGAAGGTTGAAAGCTTTGGTGGACTAGTTTCAAAATATTTAACAGATTTCGGGGACTCATTTCAAAATATAAAGATATGTGGGACCAATGCAAAACATTTTTTGGGGCACTAATTTCAAATATGAAAGGTTTGGGGCAATAATATCCAAAGAATACCCTTTTCTACTTGACTCATTTACATATTAGCCCCTATTATTCAAAAATGACAACATGGGACTACCCATTTTTTTAAATTTCCTGGAGGACCAAGGGCCCCAGTGGACCCTTTGTGCTTCCACTCATTTAAAGCTGTTTGGTTCACCTATTTTAAGAAAAAGTTTTAAGATAACAACTGATAATTGTGTTATCGTAAATAATAGATTTCTGTAATTTTCTATAAATTGTGTTTGGCTCCAAACAAAACTATAGAAATATTTTCTATAAATTAGGGAAGGTGTACTATTTTATAGAAATCAACTCCCTCTCTAAATGAGCGGAAATTGTAAGAAAATATGACGCATATATTAAAAAGTTAATTAAGTATATCAGTATCATTCCCATGTGATTTCCCATGAGCATTGTTAGTAAGCTATTTTCTATAAAGTGATATCCAACCAAACAAAAGAAAAAGAAAACAACATATTTTCTATAAAATTAGGAGTTTTTTCATACTTTGAATCAAACAAAGAAATAACAAAAAACAAGAAATATGGTACTCTTTGAGTTCTATAATTTTTTCCTACAAATTTTATAGAAATACAAAGAAATCAAATTTTGAGTACTTTTCTTTTTCTTTCTATTTTATAGAAATTGAACCAAACAGCCCCAGCTTAGTTTGAAGTTTTGGGAATCCTTCGGCAAAGAGAAAATTTTGCATATCTGCAGAGTTAAAAATGATGAAAACTTTAGAGTCAAATAACCTTTGATTATATCTTGCACTTCAAATTTTCTTATCATTGAAAATTTTAATTTTGATAGGAGGCCATAGATGATTTTCAACGTCATGTTTTTTTTTCCTTTCTTTTTTTCTTTAATGGCTGATGATTTCCAAAGGTTGGCGAAGCTGATGTTGACTGCTATACAAATTAGAAGGATCAAAGCCAACGGTATATATTGAGACCAATCATGCTGAAAAATGTTTAATTTCTTTAAAGAATAACTTGATAACAACGCATAATATTTAAAAATGATTATTTTCTAGCTCTAATAATCCATGAACGATCAGTGTTGCTTCACCTGTGCAATCATAAGAATAAAAATATATGGTTGCATTTTTGTTTAAAGGAAAAAATTGTTGAGAATTTATAATTTTTACGACTCAGTCAAATTTTAATGCAGGCTATAATAATAATATAAGATTGATCAGAACTAGTTGTTGTACCTACTGATTTGTTCGAAAGGTTCAAGAAGTTTTTTTTTACGAGAACACAAAGTAAGAGTTTAAAACCGAAAGTAATTAAAAAAAGATATAAATCTCATGGCATGCACCACATTTTGCAGCAAGTGTATAGATAGTAAACACTTACTTTACCCAAATTTAAATGCTATACTCTCAAATTATGTAGATGATAATTTGCTTTTTTATAATCTGATCTCTTTTATATATAAAGAGAAATTAGTGAAACTCCTAAATGTATAAAAAATTGATATGTGTCATACTACAAGTACACCTAATAAGAATATGATAAGTAGCCTATATTCACCTCAGAATCATTTTCAAATTGAAATTACTCATAATTAGAAAATTCTACTAATCAAATATGTTGTAATATTCATTAGCTTATAACTATCCATATTTTAAAAAACATCATAATCATATATTTAAATATAGAAAAATATTCACTAAGGAATCTTCATAAAATTAAAATTATCCATAAATAGATAATTCTACTAATCAAATATTTTGTAATTTTTATCAGATTATAACTATCCATATTTAAAAAAATCTAATCATCATTTCTTTAAATATAGAAATTAAAGAAAAAGGATTGAGATCCTTTCCAATTAGATGGTAATTGGAGAGGGTCCAATTCTCTCCATCCTTACCATCTATATCACTTTCAATAGATGAGATCACGTCGTGTGAGATTTTTATTATTACAAATAGTGCTTTTCAAGTTCGCAAGTGATTTTCGAGACCATAGTGGTTTTCAAGATAACAATGAATATCTTACATGGCGTGATTTCATCTACTAAATTTAATATAAACGATTAGGATGGAGAGAATTGGATTCTTTCCAATTACCACATAATTAGAGAAGATCATAATCCAAAGAAAAAACTTATGTAGAGAGTCTTTCCACATAAAATCATGGGTTAATTTTAGGAAACCCCCTCAACTATTTTAATTTGAGAAAATTCCCTCAAATATGAAAATTTGAGGTAGACCTCTGAACTTTTCTCACTAAAACCACCTCAAATATGAGGTATGCCTGAGAAAATCCCTCTCAACTATTTTATTTTGAGAAACCCCCCTCAAGTTTAGGCATATTGTAGATAACCCCCTCAAGTTTGAAACTTCGAGAAGCTCCCATAAACTCTTCTCACTTTATGCCTTAAAATCTAACACGATTTGGTTTAGCATGTCATATCAAAAGTATGTGACTAAAAAAGGTGAAAATACACCTCAATCATAAAAAAATTACTCTAAATTTTTTAGGATAAAAGAAAGAGGCAGAAAAAGGGGAAAACATTGTAAATTAATCAAGATATTTTTTACTAGTTAGGAGTTTCTTTATAAACGAATGAGTTAATTTTTAGAAGGGTATTTTAGTTATTTTATATTTTGAAATGATACCAGAGGGTTTTTTGTGAGAAGTGTGAAAGATTAGGGGAATTTTGTGAGACACGCCATAGTTGATGGGAGTTTCTCTAATTTTTAATGTAGAATGGAGCTATCCATAAT